TCCGCCTCATCGCCTGCTGGTAATGGACATGACAGACCCATTTCGGCAGTACCTGTGGTGTGGGCGACAGGGAGGTAAGATGTCGAGCGGTCCATCCCTGCTCACCTCGTCGTCTCGGGTTACAGAAGGAACGAAAATCTCGTCTTCTACTATTCGTCAAGACTCTCCTGGTGTTGTCAGCCGGGCCTCTTCTCGGATCACACACGAGCCTTCTTCTACACTCGTCGGGAACCCCGTCGATCCTCCTTCTCTTTCGCAGCTTTCGTTGTCTTCGACCGTCCGCTGCCCCCGTGTGACAGCACCTGATACGAATGCGTCTTCCTCTTCTGCCCACCACGTGCTGACTGCACCACTGCCATCGGGATCGGATGGTAGTGCCCACCATTCTGTGGAAAGTTCGGCTTCTTTGTCAAGGGGGGGTAGTCAAGAGCGCCCTGCGTCAATGATCAAACATCCGTCTGTTGCAGAAATGACTTCTCCCAACGAACGGGTCTCAAATAGCCAAATCGCCTCTGCTAACATTGACCCCGCCGAAGCCGCCGCCCTAAGGCCGCCCTCCGGATCACGGAGCGTTGCGACTTCGCCCGCTCCTGCCTCGCTTTCTGGGTCCTACCCGTCGGAGAAGAGGACCCGTCCGCCTGGTCCACCCCCGCCTGTGCCTGGTGCCCGCTCTTTGCCCCTTCGCCCTGCACCGGCTCCGCCGTGTGATGGCAAGTGCGAGTACGCTTCGGATGACGTCCTTCTTTTCTGGAAACCTCCTTCTGTGTTCTCGCAATGGACTCCTTCGGCGTTTGACGTACCGGGGGTACGTTATTCATGTGGTGAGCAATTCATGATGTCTGAAAAAGCGAAGTTGTTTGGAGATATGACGTCGTATGACAAAATTATGGCTACAACAGATCGTAAGACACACAAGTTTTTGGGTCGAAAGGTGCGTCCTTTCGACTATGCTGAATGGGAGCGTCGTCGTGAAGAGATCGTGCTTACGGGGTCGTACGCCAAATTTGCTCAAAACCATGACATGAAACATCATCTACTGGAGACGGGTACCCGCCTCCTTGCAGAAGCCAGCCCCTTCGATCGTGTTTGGGGTATCGGCATGTCTGCATGCTTTCCAGAGGCTAGCGTTTCATCCAAGTGGGCGGCTAGCGGTAAAAAGTTGTTAGGAAAAGCTTTGATGGAAGTTCGACGCCATTTGCGTGATCATCCCCTCTCTGGCGAAGATTTCCACGCTTCCAATTCTCCCACGCCCCCAATTTCGCAGCCTCCTCTCCATGGACATCGACGCATTCATGAGGTTGCTACTGATACAGATTCTTCGCTACGGAAGGACCCGGGCGAAGACCCAGCTTGTCTACGTTTGGACGCTCCGGGGGACCATGCTCCTGGCGTTCATCTGGTGGCATCGACCTCCGCTTGTGCAGACCAGCCTCCTCTTCTCGAACATGGGCCCGATCTGGTCGGCGGCACGCTCCTGTTGGACTCGGACTCATGCACCAC